GCCGGGGACCTGGGCGCCGGTGGAGCTGCAAGTGGACGTGCGCGTGACGCCAGTGGGCGTTCAGGGCGGCCGGTCCCCCTCGCCCTCTCCCTCGCCTTCCACGCGCTTCCTGACGGTGCCGGTGCCCGAGTCTCCCGCCAGCGTGCGCCGCGCCGTGCCCCCGTTCCCGGCCCTCGCCGCGCCCCCCAGCCCGCTGGCCGGCCCCGCCGACCGGCCTCCAGCGTCGCCCCTCGGCCGCTGCCGCTGCTGCCGCGACCAGTACCCCGACAAGAAGGAGGAGGCCGCGCTGCTGCCCCGCGCCGATGGCACCGAGCTGCCGCGCGCCATCGCGCTCCTGGGTAAGAGGAGCCCCGCACCCGGCACGGAACCCACGAGACAACCCCCCCACCACACACACACACACCACCAACCCACCAACGCCCTGCGCCCAAGGACCCATAAGACCACCCTCACCCACCTGGCCCTGCCCCACCCAAGGACTGCTGCCTCACCCCGCCCAAGGACCCTACAACTGCCCCATCCTGCACAAAGACTAACCAGACCATCCTGGCCCACTCTACATGGGAACCCACAAGACCAGCCCCTTCCTCTCCATCCACCCATAGGGCCTGAACCTGATAACCAGCCCCTTGCACCCCACAGGATCGACTGCCCCCAGCCGTCCCACATATGACCTGGACCCCACTAAAGATAACTGTTCCTCCACGGGCACTTACACAACCCAAAAATGGGTCCCACGATCAGGACCCATGCACCTATCAACACCAGCCCTGAGCCTAGGTTGGTTCTTACCTTCCCCTCCTGGGCCCCCATGACCGTCCTTGCCCACTGATTGGTTGATTGGTTAGTACATTTCCAAATCAAGGGGAACATTTCTAAGTAAATGCCAAATGTTTCCAGAGAAGCGTAGGGCAACTCTCCCTCCCACTCCATGAGGTTTTCAGGGCTAATGCCAATTCCAATTGGTAAAGTAGCGAGAGGGGCAGCCACAAGAGGAAGGCCCTCATGGAGATGCATGGACACCAGGGCTGCCACGATGGCGCAGACCTTACAACCAGTGTGAGGACACTGTAGGACCAGGCGGTGTTTCCTTCTGCTGTACAGCAGGTTGCTGTGAATCTGAACTGACCCAAAGGCACCCAGCAACCATAAACACACAGACACACACACACACACACACACACACACACACACACACACAGGCATGAACATGGCCCCACTTAGCAACCGCCGCATGTTTGAGAAGAGACCGAGGGCAGAAATGAGATGTCTTCTGCTGCTCCCAGCCATAGGCCCTTCTCTCTCATGGTGGCCCTACACGTACCCAGTGGGATTGCTCCTTAGGGCTTTCGCCATGGTGGCCTTCCTGAAGCAGATAGGCAGGTCTTTCTCCTGGGCACTGGTCAAACTAGCCAGCCTTCCCGCTAGCGGCTGGTCTCTTAACTCGGGCTCCCTTTTCTGTCCTGCCTTCTTAAGGAGTGTTTTACCCCAAACGCCCATCCTTTAGCCATTAGTAAGTACAGTGCTTCCAGGGGAGGTGTTCTTCAGGAGGGGGGCCGGGGAGTAGAGGGAGTTGGGCTGAAGGAAGAAAGAGCCAGAAAAAGACAAGTAAATAGTCCAGGACAAGGAACCAGGAGGGAGAGGGTCAGTGAACTTGGGGCATGGAAGGCTTCCTGGAGTCCTGGGAAAGGTGAGTAGGAGTTTGGGGCTGGGTGGGGAGCAGCAGGCACAGGCAGGAAGGGAGCCCTGCCCAGCGAACAGCCTGCCAACAGCCCCACCCTTGGAGGGGCAGGCCGGGCCAGCTGGGCCTCAGCAAGCCAGCGGGGCCCTCTCTGCGAGGGGTGCTTAGACAAAGCGGGCGGCTCTGTCTTTTGGAGCATGAGCGGAGTGTAGCCTTCGTGGTCTGCACGCCCCGTGTATCTATTTGCCATCACACATTTTCACACGCGCTGTAGCTTTCAACGACCGATAGTTATGTTTACGGGTCTGCATAGGTCAGGCGTTTCGAAGGGGGCTAGGAAAGGACTGTTTCTTTTTAGAGGTTTGTGGGGAGATTCCATTTCCTTGCCTTGTCTAACTTCCAGGCGCTGTTGAATTCCTGGGCTTCTGGCCAGCCCTCTGCCTCCATCCTCAAAGCCAGCGAGGTGGGGCTAAATCCCTAAGTCTGCCTGTGCCTTGCCATTCTCCCTCGTGTCTCCACCCAGGAATACTTTCCCAGCGCTAGGCCAGTTGGTGAGCAACCTGAATGCCCCTTTGCCTGCTTGGTCACAGACCCCAGGGCTGGGCGAGCAGGGACCTTTCCGACGGGTGACTTCTGATCAGTTTTAAAAGCAGCTGACTGCAAAGAGTGGGTTGAGTCATCGGCAGGTTGCATGTTGAAACTTCTGGAATGGGGGCAGGTCACTATGGGAGGGAGAGGAGGAGGAGGAAGATGGCAGAACCAGACAGGATGGCAAGTGCTTCAGCTTTGCTCTGTGGGACGTGTGGGTTTCCCAGAGCGGACCTGAGGCTCAGTCCGTGGGATGCTGCGCCAACAAGGTCACTCCTGTGGTGACTCTAACAAGGGGGTCAGGCGAAGCCCGGTACTGGTCACCTCAAGGCTCAAGGTGCTGGTCAGGCACAGGCTTCCTGCTAGGCGCCTCCGACTGGCTCCTTCAGGCTCGCTCCTCAGGAACCTGACGGGAAGCCACTGTGGAGAAGGCTGGAGGTACTTTTCTCTCTTCCCTCCCTGGTGTGGGGCAGTAGCCCAATGTGCTGTGCAGCTGCAGCTGAGGCACGTGGGGCTCCCCGTGCGGACAGGGTGTCGCACTAGCTTTCTGTAGCTGCTGTGACAAAGTACCACATACTTGATCATTTCAAACAGCATACATCCATGCTCTCTCAGCCTGGAAGCTAGAAGCCTCACTCCCGCCGAAGCCGCTGGGAACTCCTTGGTTTGTCTGGGGCCTCAGGCCTGTGCGATCACCCCAGTCAGCTTGGCCTCCCCTTAAGCGCCTCTTTTTGAACAAGGACACCCGCTGTGTTGGATTAAGGCACACCTGCCTCTGGTCTAACAAATTATATCTACAAATGTACAGTTCAGAATCAAATCACATTCTGAGCGGCAAGGACCTGAACTGGTGGGGGTGGGGGGTGGGGGCGAGGCACCATTCAATCTGGTACCAAGGAGTAGTCAGGGCGTCTAACAGGAGGCAGGGCAGCAGTGAGGGGGGGACTAGGGTGTGGACATCAGGGTGTGCCACAGATCATCTGGGTTGAGAAGGAAATTGAGCAGATGCTGGGGGGGCGGTGTTATTGTTGTCATTACTGCTCTTCCCGTGAGACAGAGCTCCTTAGAAACGCATGTCCTCTAATTGTTCACAAAGTGGAACTTCTCCATCTTTCTCCCAAATGTGAGATCTTTGCCTACACCGAGGGGTGGGTGCTGGTGTCTGGGATGGGTGGTCAGGTGCTGAGGTGGGCATGGTACCTGCGGGGGTGGGGGGACACCCAGTGTGGTCAAGGAGGCTGCATTGGGTGGTCTCCCAACCTACCACTCTCTGTGCCCCACTAGGACTGCCCATGTACATGAAGTCCCTGCGCTGGGCCCTGGCCATTATGGCCATCCTACTAGCTGTGTCTGTGGTCACCATCATAGTCCTGATCGCTGGAGCAGGTATGGCACCCCCTTCTGGCCTCCCTCGGTACTGTCTCTGGTTCTCCCAGCACCTTGGAGAATTGGAAGCCAGGATCTCCCTTCCCATTCCCCTAGGGAACCCCGACTAAGAAATGTTTCCTGCGACCATTGTGCTGTTCTGCCTAGAAAAAAAGAGTTATTTTCCCAACACTGAGCCAGCTCTTTCCTGACAAGGGTCTCAGCACCCCTCACCAGAGAGACTTAGGGCATGGGCTAAGCCCCCCTCACCATAAGGACTTTGGGCATGGCGTGGGCCCCCTCACCATAGGTAGGGACTTTGTGCATGGGCTAGGCCAAGAAGGTGGCCCAGCCTACTCCTGTCCAGTGCCACCCCCCTGACCTGCCTCCTTTCTCGCAGAGGTGGCTCACCTGTCTCTTGCTTGCAGGGACCAGGTGCCGGCTGTGCCCCGAGGGCTGGATGTGGGCTGAGGACCAGTGCCTCTACCTCTCCATGGAGACCCGGGCCTGGGAGGCCGGCCAGGCTTTCTGCTCAGCCCAGCACGCCACCCTTCCCTTGCTAAACCACACGCAGGTGAGAAGGCCTTGGGGAGGGTGGGGGTCACTTGATATCACAGGCTGTCCCCACTGCATGCATGGGGCGAGGTGTGCTGGCAGGGGGCACGGGAGCTCCGTGCAGGGCCATGGAAGGGTGTGACTTTTCATTCTGGGAATTGGGAGCGGGGGAGGCTGGAGCAGTCAGTGGTGGGCCTGGCCAGGCCGGCCCAGGGTGGAGAGGCACAAGTGTGTGTGTGCTCCCTGGGCATTGTCCTGTGGAACCAGCTTGCACGGTGGTGGGGACATTTGCCAGTTATCCCTGCAGCCACAGATGCTGGGTAACAAGTGCCCCACGGCCCAGGGCTAAGGCAGCAAACACGAACGTCTCCATCATTTGTAGGTGGGTCACCTGTGACCAGGCTGGGCTGGCTGGACCGCTCAGGGTACTCTAGGGCTGGGCCGGGGCAGGGAGGTGGGGTAGGGCCCCTGTTAGCCCTCAGTCCTTCTAAGAAGCGCTTCCCAGGGAAAGCAACCAAAGTCCAAGCCCAGCCTAACAGGCAGCCCGTCAAGGCCTCTGCTCCTTGGATGCATCTGCTGGCTGTGTCCCATGGACTGGAGCAGACGGCATGATGGAGGGCTGGGAGGGTGCGCCTCTGTCCACAGCACAGAGAAGCAGGGGGTGCTGTGAGTAACCCCATCCATGGCGAGGAAGAACCTATGAGCCTGATCCCATGCCAAGCAAGCCCTGGTGGCACAGTTGTTAAATGCCAGGCTGCTAACTGGAAAGCCAGCGGGTGGGGCCCACCAGCTGCACCACAGGAAGAGGATGTGGCTGTCCGCTTCCGTAAAGACATGCAGCCTGGGAATCCCGGTGGGGCAGCTCCACTGTTTTGTAGGGCAACGAGTCTGAAACTGTGGGTTGCGACCCAAGGTGGCGCAGGTGCGGGGAGCGGGATCGGCAAAAAAAAAAAAAAAAAATGGCAAGAGTAAAAGGTTTCTGCACACACCACGACCAAAAATTAATCCAACACATCATGGACCCGAGGTGTTCCTGGCAGCTCTTGCCCATGTCCTGGGCCACTCAGGAGTGGGGAAAGTTTCAGAAGCCCTGTGATAGGGTCGCCATGAGTCGGAATCCATTCCCAGCAGTGGCTTTGTCTGAGTTTTGGGTAACAAGTGCCAAGAACTTGCACGAGCTGCTCTGATAAAGATGAGAATGGAGCATCCTTCAGTCAGTCCCTTAAAAGTTCACTGAGTGTCTGCTCCACTGGACTCTGGGGAGCGGAGGGAGCTAGATGCTGACAGACATGAGAGCAGCAGGTGTTGATCCGCTGTGCTATTGGGCGCTGTGCAAGTAGGTGCACGGTGCCGTGAGCTTCTGACACGTGGCGTGAGGTCAGCGAAGGCTTCCCTTGAGTGACGTTTAAGTTCAGAGCTGAGAGATGAGTGGGCGTGGACTCAGAAGGGGGAACGAGTGTCCCAGTGAGCAGTACCCGGGGGCGGGGTCTCCTCCTCTCTTCACAGCTCTGTTTCCATAAAGCTGGGAGACTTTGTATTAAAACACACACTGGTGTGCTGACGGTGGGAGCTGACCCAGTCAAGGAAACTCCGGTTAACGGTGTCTACACAAATCACTCAGTGAGCAGGGCTGGCGGTCTTCACATGGCCCTTCTCATTCGTCCTGCCCACTCGTCTCCTATGTGCTGGGCAGTCCGTTTTGGCCACGTGCACCTGTGCACCCTAGGGCACGTGCATCTTCTCTGTATGGCGTTGGAGTTCGTCCCCAAGATAGGTCCCCCTCCCCCCCAGAAGCAGTGGGAGGGGAGTTGGGTTTGGTTTTTCGCTCCTTGTCTCGCCACATGCATGCATGTTCATGTGTGGCACGAGGTTCCTACAAGGAGTTCTGGTGGCGTACTGGGTACACGGCAGGCGGTGAACGTCAACCCAGCAGTTGGAAAGCACCGGACGATCTGCAGGAGAAAGACGAGGCTACTCTCATCAGGGGCAAATGGGGGCAGCCACAGACAAGGTGGCTGGCTGGGTGGCCTAGTCCCGTTGTGGTGGCCTCTGCAGCTGGCCATGCTGAGCAGGCTGTGCCCCCGCATCACCTGGTGCCCTGATGGCCAATGCCACTCGGATGCATAGCCTGGCAGTTCTGAGTCCCTGGCCCTCGGCCCTTGCCCAGTGGAGTCCGCCTGCCCGAGGGCACTGACACCCCCCCCTTCTCACCTCTTCCCAGAGCATCCTGACCAGACACTACATGGCCCTGCACTCCTGGGTGGGTGCCTGGCACAGTCACCGGGGCTGGCACTGGATCAACAGGGTGCCCATGCTGCCGCAGATGTGAGTGACCTGGGACCTGAGGGGGCTTTGCCCACTGTGGACCCCAAGTGTGACAGCAGGCTTGGGGGGTCCAGGCATCTGTCCTGTCCTCCATGAGTCCAGACGCCCACCCTCATTGGGATCCTCAGTGGGGCTGGCAGTGTGTCCCTCAGCTCCTCTCCCCCTCTCCCCAGGCCCTGGGAGGACAAGGAGCTGCGCTGTGGGGCCCTGGAGGAAGGCAAACTGGTGGCCTTGAACTGTACCACCCCCCGGCCCTGGGTGTGTGTCCGGGCACCCAAGTGACCATGAGGGCAGCCTGCTGTGAGCACAGGAGCTGGACCACAGGGCTTGTGGAGACGGCTCTCGCCCCACGCCCTGTCTTGAGGTGACATCTGGTCTGTGTGGCAGGACACGTTGCTATGACCCTTTCCAGTAGCCCCTCCTGCCCAAGAGCTGGCCCAGGGCGTAGAGAGGCAAGGGGCTAAGAACTCTGAGGGGCCTGGGTGGGGACTCAGAAGGGCCTTCACACTTGAGGGGAGGTGTGGCAGGTGTGGTGTCCGCCTCCTGTGCGCCTGCCTGTGTTCCCAGGTGTGGGGGGAAGTCAGATCCTTGCTGCCAGACTGCTGTCTCATCCTACCACAGGGGTGGGCCTGCTCCCTGCTGCTGGGGACAATGGACAGGCTCCTGTGGGCAGAGTTCGCATCCTACTGATAATGGTCTCTATCAGTTGGGCCAGGGACAGGCCAAACCGGCTGTCCCTCCTCTTCCTATAGCGTGTATGTCCCTAGATCACCGCCTCCCATCACTGTAATACCTGTAGCACAACCTTTCCTGTGACGTATGTCTTCACCTGTAATGTGGGGGCTCGAACGTTCCCAGAGAGGATAAAAGCTTGGGGAGCATTAAAATTCTCTCTCCACGTGAATTACCAAGTGGGGCTGAGGTGAGCAATGCTACCATGAAATGTGTCTGACTCCATTTATTTCTATATATCTCCTTTATCTCTCATGCTCTCGATAACTTTACTATAATATTTACTTATTATCGCAGTACAATTGCGCCTACCGAACCCGTAGTGATTGTGCTAGGAGCTGGCTTCTTCTGGCACCCAGGCGCCTTGCGTCAGGGTCCTCCCTGAAATGCCGACCCGCGCACAGCAGCTTGTGCAAAGCCACAGGGCTGTCTGGGAGAGAAGGCTAGAGGCCTGAGAGGAGGAGTCACGGCTTGCCCTCTCTCCTAAGAGGCTCCCCAAAGTCATAGCATCCGCGCCCAGGACAAACACGTGCAGAATCTGCTTGCCAGCCTCCTCAGGAGGGCAGGGGGACAGGTAGTTCTCTCGCTGCCAAATGGAGTATCTGAAGAGGGTCCGCACGGCCCCCCTCACCTGGCTGGCAACGTGCTGGCTGCCTTCTGGGGACCCCAGCGCTGTGCCACATGGCTGCTTGAGCTTCCAGGCAGCATGGCGGTTGAATCTTAGGGAGGCATTACCTAAGGGCTGGCCCCTCTTGTGCCACATTGTATTGGTCTAAATGAACCACCGGGCCAGCTCACCGTCAAGGGGACAGGGGATGTACAGCCCCTCTCTGGGGAGGGGCCGCAGAGTTCTAGTTCTGGGTCACGTGCGCCATCCTTTGGTAAAGAGGAGCGATGACTTCATTTGCTTTTTATGAGAAAGACCCGTCTCTGTTCCTCGCGTGCTTTCCCACCACACCCATCTCTGGCCCAGTGTGGGCCCTTGTCCTTCCCCTCCTAGTGCTCAAGGTAACTGGCTGAATGGCAATACTGAGCTCAAATCAGCACATTCCAACCCAGTTAACTTTTAAAACTGTTGGAAATATTTCACAATAAAAGTGGGTTTTCAACCTCATGAGGCATCTCACTCGTAATTGTTCATGTCCAGATATGCTCCTGGGAGAGAGAAACCTCTCATTAGTGGAAAGTCAGCTCTGCTTCAGCCGGACTGAAGGCTTCCTCAGTGGCAGACTGGACTGGAAAAGGCCACCCACCAGTGCTGCCAGGATGAGCAGGGAACGCCTCTGCCCTCCTTGGATGCGAAATGCTTCTCCTGACAGCAAGAAGCCACAGGTGTGGGTCTCCATTGGTGTAGGATTTGAGTTTAGGCCACCAGCACCATCCTGAAGTGTCCGTCGAGGTGGAGTCCAGTGGCAGCCAACCAAAACTACTCTGTGGGGTGGGCTCATCGTAAAGGGTTACGGGCACAGCCTGAGGAAAACCGAGTTTTTTTCAAGAACCAAATAGAACTTACAGAAATGAAGAAAATGGCTGTTGGTATGAAAAGCAAGTGGAGAGCTTAAGGAGCCAATCATAAATCATTGAAGAGACGATGACCTGAGGGAAGCACTCTGAAAAAGAGGATGTTATGTGCCATCGAGTTGGTTCCAACCCATAGCGACCATCCACCCGAGAGGATCATGGCCCAGGTCCTCCTCTATCCTCACAACTGTCCCCAAGTCTGAGCCCACTGTTGCAACCACTGTGTCCATCCATCCTGTTGAGGGTCTTCCTCTTTTTCACTCCACTCTAATTTCCCAAGTGCGATGTCCTTTTCCAGGGACTGGTTCTCTGGATAACATGTTCAAAGTATGTGAGATGAAGTCTTGCCGTGCTTACCTCTACGGAGTACGCTGGCCATCCCTCTCACTGGTCTGTTTGTCCCGTTGGCAGTCCACAGCACTTCCAATATCCTTCACCAGCACTGTCATTCAAAGGCATCAATTCTTCTTTGGCCTTTCTTATACATTGTCCAACTTCCACATGTATTTATGAGGCAAATGAAAATACCATGGTGTGTGTACCTTAGTCCTCAAAGTGACATTTCTTTTAGAAACTTTAAAGATGTCTTCCGCATATAGATTTAATCAATGCAATGAGTCTCGATCTCGATTGCTGCTGCCTAGAGCACTGATTATGGATCTGAGCAAAACAAAATCCTTGACAACTTCAATCTTTTCTTCATTTGTCACGATGTTACCAATTGCTCCAGTTGTGAGGATTTGGGTCATTACATTGAGCTATATATAATTCACGCTAAAAACTGTAATCCTTGACTTCCTCAAGTCCTCAGTTATACAAGCAAGGCTGTCATCTACACATCACAGGTTAGTAGGCCTTCCTCCCATCCCGATGCCGCCTTCATATAAGCCAGCATTTTTGATCGTTTGCACAATAAAGTATTAAAGAGTGGACCCTGCTAGGCCATCAGGGTTCCTAATATAAATTTAGCAGGGATTATTAACTTTTCCCTGGGCCAGGGATCTCTCCACAAAGCTGTTTTCTAAAAGCATAAAGTTACTTTAGAAAACCCACACTTTGATTATAATACTCGCAAATGTGTAGCTGGGTACATGTTAACAACTGTGCCTATTACTCATGTGATCACCACTCCGGAGTCCCAAGTAAGTTCTGAGCTGCTTACAGGAAAATCTCACAAAAAAATAAAAACCTCACTGCCATCGAAATTGATTCTAAACAGCCCGTGTGTTGCCAACACTGTAAGCCTTTGTGGTGTACTTAACTTCCTCTCCCACTTCCAGAAAGGCTTGACATTTTCCCCAAAGTGAACAGCCATGAAAACCCTACAGGGCAGTTCTGCTGTGCAACACGTGGTTGGAAGTGGCTTGGCAGCAACTGGGCAAGTGAGGGTAGGGCGTGACTTCTAACCAGATTGACGGTGGCTTCCGATGGTTTTCTTTGGGATCTTATATTTGATTGGATTTTAATGTTAGGTCGAAAAGGATTGGGGGAGCTTTTAAGTGCTGAAGTCACTAAGACAGCCTTTCCGTTTGGTAGGGGATCAGAATCACGTCGAAAGAACTAAGGGCCAATCTGACAAGGTTCTTGCAGGCTCAGGACTGGGAAACTACAGCCATGGATAGAAATGGATTAAGTATGCTTCAGTCCAGTTCATGATACTAAAAAAAGTTTGGAGAATATGGAAATTGTAAATTGTAGGAATCATTTATCCTGCACTTCCCACAATATGTACCTCAGGACAACTACATAACCCACTGCCATCAAGTTGATTTAAACTCAGTGACCCTAAATACAGCTCCCGAGGCCATCTTTGGGAGCATACAGCCTCATCTCTTCTCCCTTGGAGGGACCAGTAGGTTTGAATCATGGGCCTTGCACTTAGTCCAGAGTGCTACCAGGACTTCTTAGGGCACTAAGTCCCTAAGTTCACAGATAGTGAAAGGCTTAGAACATCACCCTTTCACCAAAAGTGCACCTCAAAAAAACTCACTAATATTCTGATGACCTTATAGGGCAGGGCAGAACTGCTCCTATGTATTTCTGACTCTTTTACAGTATACGAGGGGGGTACCCCCAAACACCCAATGCTCATTTGTTTTTGAGGGGCACAGTGCTTTTGGAGTTCATTTCACCAGTCAGACTGTTTATCAAGCTATTTAGGGGTTCTGAAAATACTGCGTAACTGTGCAACGAGACCCGATTTTTGGCGACAGGGAACTGGTTTTGCCACCATGACAGCTCACAGCGCCTTCTCAGTGCACCAGTTTTTGGCCAAAACTAGCATGCCTCTCTTGCCCTACACACCTGTGTGACTGCTTCCGCAAACGAAGAGGAACATGAAAGGGCAGCGATGTGATGTGAAAAAAATGAGAGAAAACGAGGTGCTGCTGTCAACCTTTCAAATACAGTAGTATGCAAAATGCTTCCAGCGATGGAAATCAGTTTTGACAAGTCAATGTAGTGTACTGAGGAGTACCTTTTAAGGCAGTGGTTCTCAGCCTTCCTAATGCCACAACCCTTTCATATGGTTCATGTGGTGCTGACTCCCCAACCATAACATTATTTTCATTGCTACTTTTGCTAGTTATGAATTGGGTGGCCCCTGTGAAAGGGTTGTTGACCCCCAGGTTGAGAACTGCTGCTTTAAGGTGGTAAGATTGCTTTATAGAAATACTTTGTGGTTTTTGTTTTGTTTTGTTTTGGGGGGCGGGGGGATTCCGAGTTTTCTTTTGGTACCCTTCTATTTCTCATTTGCTATCTTATCTGTTTTGCACTTTGGTGCCGTATCTGACAGGAACCCCAAGGTACAATGCTGGCTGTGATGGTTCAAATCACATGAAGCTGGATGGCCATGGTTTTCTAATTTGGCAGTTAAGAAATGCAGTCAATGTGTCATCTGATGTGAAGAAATTCTTACACCAGGTCCATGGCACCTTTCAGTGAGGAGACTGTGTGGGCAAAATCCTAACTTTCCAATCTTCACAGCCATTCTGGGTCTCACTGCTGTCACCATCTCTAGTTTACAGAGCTTACTGAGGTCTTAAATGCTGAGTGGAAATACAGCACGTAGTAAGCTTGTTAATTCTTCTAAGGGCAGAATGTGCTGATAAGCATGAATGCCTGGCTCTTCCCTTTGTTCTAAGGAGATGCAAGAATCAGAACCCTGAGAAGGGTGATTGATGAGTGACAGGTGTAGAATCTCTCTTAACTTACAAGTTTCATGTGGAGAGGATCGAAGAGGAGGTATAAAGGCTAATAAGCTGTCCAAAATTAGCAAACCAAGAAACAGAATAACCCTATTTGAGAATATGAAGATAACTACAGGAACAGTCAAAGTGCGTAAAAACCCATCAGGCTGTACAATTACAATTGGATACTTCCTATCGTTGGAAAAAAAAAAGTTTAAATATTTGACCCAAGCCATGGTATTTTCAATCACATCACAAGTGAAAGCTGAGCAGTAAGGAAGGGAGGCTTATCTTTGAATTGAGGTTGGCAAACATTAAATATACCACCGATTGCCAGAATGTATGAATCTGTTGGGAGTATAGACAGACCGTTTTTTAAAAAGGAGGATGGGAAGCCCTTGTCTCCCTTAACCTGGGTAGACTGCTCCCTGAAGAAGGGCACTGTGTGCTTGGTAGTCAGTAAAGCGGGAGCTATTCCTCAGTGAGATGGACGAACAGAGAAGTTCAAGGGGCCTAGGGATAGCAATGACTAGGAGAACCCGTTTCTGTGGTGCCCAAGGCCACATCACCACCACCAGGGGCTCAGGCTGAACCCTCGATGCCTTCCCTTCTAGCACAGAGGACCACTAGAACAGAGGGATGAGAAACCTCCTCTAAAACTGACTAAAACGGGCCAAGCAATGAGCCACCGTTGATGCCCACTAGATCAAACTCTAACAGGGAATCAACTAGGGCAGAAACCCTCGGTTAAGAAGGCAGAGCTTGGTCTCTTGGGGAAGGCTGATGAGTGTCCCTTTCAGTAGTATCTGATGTCATATCCTTGATTCACAAGGAGGCTTGCCCACCGAAGGGCGAAGCACCCTTCAATGTAGAAAGCACTCGTTCTCCTTAAGGTGGTTGGTTACACTGCATTTTTATTTCCATTTACTGAAGAGGAGAAAACAAAACAAAAACGGACCTTTTTCTTCGGCAGGCCCATTCCTCCTCTGCTGTAGGGGTTACAGAATAACCCCCAGGCAGCCGGGGTCTGGCCAGCCCTGGGACCCTTTGCAAGTCCACTGGATGCCTTGCACAGTAAGGCACAATCAATAATGTGACCGGACAGAGGAAAAGTCAGAGCAAACAGTCCTAGTGACGATTTACTAGACAAGTCAGTTTAATGATGGTGGTGATTGTTTCTTTCAATTTATTCTTATTATTTTACAATAAGGATGTAGCCTTTATACTCCACACAAAATAAAACAAGTGCTTATGAGAGTCCCTCTCCCCCTCCCCCTCCAAACATCCTAAACATAGCAATTCAATACAACAGAAAAATCAAGATAGGTTTGATTTCAAAATTTCAATTAAAAAAAAGCAGAAGGTTGTAATGCAACAGCTGTTCAACTTCCAACTCTAAATAGGCACCTTTAAAGGTGTGTGTGTGGTGTGTGTGTGTATGTGTGTGTGTGTGTGTAGAAAAAAAACCCTAAAACCAATGTTGTTCATTTCTCCAGCACACATCCAGTATATATGCTCAAGGTATGATCAGCTAGTAATTAAAGAGGGAAGAGAACCTTGGGACAGAGGTTAGTTAGCTTCAGCCTGCCCTGCCCTGCCCCCTTCAATCGGAGGCTATTAGGGGATAGTAAGAACTGAAAAGGAAACACCCATAGCTGCTGCTGCAACTAGAAAGGAAGACAGCAATTGTTCAAAAGAGAAAAAGGAAAAAACCCAAGGTAACACAATTCACCCACTATCACTCCTACTACAAAGAAGAAACCAGAGATGGGCGTCTGATTACATAAAACTCAACAGAGAATCTTTTTAGAGAACTGTATTGCAGGGTCACCAGAAACGCTGAAGGCCGGCTTCGGCTTCACTGCCGAGTCAGACCCCACACATCGCCTCACTGGATCCGTGTCTGGGTTGCTCGCTGCGCCTCCACAGCTGTAAACTCAACAATGGGGGACTCCAAGGAAGCAGGTAGGCGGCAGGCGCAGGGCGAGGCACCACTAGATCTCCCCCGCCTCACGCTCCTCCGAGCTCCTCCTGTCTTCAGACCGGCCGTTGGCGCTCTCGTAGGACCGCTTCTTATCTTTGCGGTCTCGGTCCCGAGGGGATCTATCTCTGGAACTCCTGTCTTTGTCACGTGACGCTAGGTCTTGGTCTCGAAATCTTTCCTTTGAGGATCTGAAAAATAGTAATTTGAGGAGCAAAAGATGTTGGGTAACCCAGAACCCAAACCAAGCGAGGGTGCCCCTAGATCTGGTCAAAACAGGGTGTGCGGAGACGTACGTACGTGTGTGTCAAGACAGCAAAGGACAAAGGCATAAGCTAACATCACTATTGACAAAGAACAGTGTGTGTGTGTGTGTGTGTGTCAACACAGCAAAGGACAAAGACATTAGCTAACATCACTATTGAAAAAGAACACTCTAATGACCCTTATATGCCATCAGACACTTATCAGGCTTATTGAAGCTTATTTTACACTAAAATGTTATAAAGACAAGACCTTAAAAAGTGAAAGCTAAGTTCCCATTTAAGTAACGATATATGTAGACCAGGGTGTGAGACCAGACGGCGAGTGGGTTGGAACCATCAGCCATAGCGCCACTGGCACCCGCATGGGCCACAGTCTGGCTGCAGGCCTTCCTGGTCCCACTCGGGCTTCGGTAGCCGCTGCCTCTTCACTTTCTTTTTACCACCACGACAATGCACACGACCCAGTCTGCTGGCAGTACAACCAGAGGCCCCCAGCCTTGTTAGATCTGTAGGCAACGCAATGCTGAAAAGACGACTGGCTAGGGGACACAGCCATCAATGACCATTTGAAACTTTTTTTTTTTAATTGGCTTTATTCCTCTTCAGTGAACTCCCTCAGCCAACAGAAAACAGAGACACCCCACCCCACCCCCAAAAATAAATCCGTCCTGGAACACCTACTCCATGTCCACGCAGGTTCGTGAGAAAAGTAGCACAATAGGCTCATACCAGAAACTCCGTGAGCATGCACACCAAGGGCATTATGGGACAAGATCAATATGGAATCTCCTATACTTTGAACATCCAGAATGAATCAGCAAGATTCTGTTACAATTTACTGCACAGAGTACCGGTGCCATGGTACTCGGGCATAATGAGGTCACCAGGTACTATACTCAGACCTGGGATCAGAGGCACGGCTGTGACCCTGAACCAAGAACACTACTGGTGTCTCAAGCCAGGAACACCACCACTAGTTCTTGCTTCAGAAATACAGCTCAGAACAGGTAAAACCAAAGCTGGAAGAGTACTTAATGCTACACACTGAGCATTCAATGCCAAGTTCTAATAAACCTAGTTCTACATTTGTGTATGTATCAATCAGTGGTAGGATTCAAGTCGAGAGACAGCACTGGAAGCCGACACTGGAGCGAGTGGGGGTCTCAGAAAACCAGTGGCTGAGAGACCACCTTCACAGAGGCTGGGCAGATTGCAGGTTATCATTTCATTCCAACGCCCTGCCCTACTACTGGCCAGACAGGGACTCCTCGTGGTTCTATGTTGGGTGATGATTAGATGGCTTAGGGGACTCTGGCTCTGAACCCTGCACAGGGTGTGTCTGTCTGGAGAGAGGAGGAGGCAGAAACATCCAGATGGGCCTTGCAGCAGGAGAACCACCAAGCACGTAGGGCTTTCCAGGGACTGGCACCTCCAAAGTGTGGCCCCAAATACGTCAACATGATTTTATCTCATATGTAATAACATATTGCTTACAATTTTATCTTCTAATTTTTGGTAAAACAATCGGTCCTGTAAAAGAATAATCTGAATATCAAAAACAGAAGTGCTCTTGAATAAAACAAAATTTTAATAGTTTTACAAAAATAATCCTTTCTGAGCATGCAGAAGACAGTGGGGTGCGGAGTGTCGGGGTAGAAATTGCTCCTGTGCATTGTCACAATGTCACATATTCAGGCATCAAGTGAGATCAACACAACCACAGAAGATGAGCCCCCACCACTGCCACTGCCACCACCCAGCAAGGCCTCGGGGAGCTCAGAGACCAGGGCCATGGCAGCTGGGCTGGCCTGCAGGAGAAACCGTCCAGTCTCGATGACTGGCCTGAGTCTGCACGCATGGGGCATGCAGGACTCCACAGAACCTTTAGAAACGCATTTGGTCGGCACACTGCAAACTGTGGTGTTTTTAGAGTGTGAGACAAGTGGTTAAAAATCACACTGTGAAGAACTGTTGTTGCCCACAACCTCCTGGCTAATTCTTCTCCACTGTTGCTTTTCATATATCCATTCTCACTGGGCTTTTCCCTACTGATTTAGACCTAATCAAGTGAGCTTTAGGCAAGTTTTACCAACTACTCAAAGCCACATCTTATCTTCTGGCATTTTCACTGCAGCCCCTGTATATTTACTCTCTAACAGAAGTGGTCTTCCAACGACCGTTCCCTGGCCGTGAGGCGAGTTCAGTGTCCTCATTCACGGCACGTAGCCGAGTGCCTCGGAGCCACTGAGCACAGCTGCTCGACTACATTACAGCGGCGCTCCAGGACCAGAGGCGCTGCAATCGGACACAGACCGTTCTTAAAATTAAGGGCATCTTACAGACTGCTCAGGACAAGAATATAAGAATATATTGACTAAATACTAACCAACTCAGCTTATGTGTATTTTTTTTTTCCTGGTAATGGCCAGTTCAAGGAGAAAAGTAACTGAAAAGCTTTAAAAAGTTTTCTGTGGAGTAACACAGAAAACACAAGACCAGGAGGGGGAGGCACTCAGCCCTCCTTATCATATATATTACACTAAGGAGCAGTTGGCAGAGAAGAGCCATTAAGCACAGTTTATGTACATCCCACAGAAATGCCCCAGCTGAAGAGCCACCAGCTGTGCCGAGGGCTGTGAAGGCTTGGTCTGCATGCATGGTGGTGGTGGCTCTGAGACGCCTCCACATTAGACCCCTGACACACCCGTCCACACACCTCTTCCATTCTCTGCTCAGCTCAGGGAGGTCTGGTAGCTTCCTAAAGATTCTGAATATGCCCTGCCAAGCCAAGGTCTATAACAACGTGTAAAGGTAGTCCAGGTTAAACAAGAATAAACTAGAATGGGTCTGCTTGGGAAAAAGTGCACCAAAGTTCGGGGGTGGGGGGTGGGGGGGTGTCAAAGCTAAACAAGATTTTAAACAAAAGGACTTCTCAGAGCTTTAATTTGTTAATACAGACTGTAAAAACGCTAAGAGTATAGGTATCTAAAAGTATTTACGATCGAGCACTAGGCAAAAGGAAGCTGCACACTTTGCATATCTCAGTCCTGATTTCTTACTCGGGTTCATAAGTGTCTTCTTAACTACCCACGTCACCAGGGAAAAAAGGCCCCACACCCACACACCAAAGGGTACAGATTACCAGGCGCGTTTCAAATAGGTTCACGCTCCAGCCCTAACTGTACAGGCGGCTCTCGGCGTGGCAGGGAGGCATCAATACCTCCTCTTGGAGCGCTCCCTGCTCCTCTCCCGGGAGCTGTGCCGGCTTCTCTGGTGACTGCGGCTACGGCTGCGGCTGCTTGAGCGAGACCGGTGGCGATGGCGCTTCTCCCGAGACTTGGACCGAGTTCTTCTCTTCCGTTCCCGAGACATGGAACGAGACCGATGTCGGCGGTGCTCCCGGGACCGGGACCTAGCAGAGACAAGATGTGACTGGGAGAAGTTCTGGGTTTAGGGCTAGCTTTAGTGGGGTGCCGGGAGTCCCTTCACCTTCAACTCTCACTAAAGACTTTTCTAGAAAGAGAAATTCCCGAGAGGTCTGACTTCCTGTCAGTGCTATTCCAAGTTAGCTATTATCAACATGAAACGGTTTCAGGATTATTATACAATGACATACTAGAACTTGAAATGAAATACACCTCTGACTGAGGTACAGAGGGGGCTGATCAAGTTCAGACACTGGAGTCTGGTTAAGAGGTGGCTAAAGAGCGAGGGAGGGGTACATAGGACTAGAGTGTAGAAATGAAACCACGGCCCAAGTATCTAATATATGGGAAATGAACCAAAAAAGGAGCCTGTGTCAGTTAACCAACCAGGGACCCAGAGCACTCTCAACAGCTTGTGTTTCTAACGTCTCATCTCAGACAACGAAAGCGAATGGGCACGGGGTATTATTCATTTACTAATGTCTTTACTTTCCAGCACTGGGCCCAGAAATGCCAGGGACTTGATCTGACGATGACTAAGGGGCTCTCAACAGAAGCCTATGGTTGTTTTTGGTTTTCCTTCACTGACACATAACTTTCACAAAACTTTAGAGTCAAACGGGAAAAACACTGTCACCAATAGGTGTTCTTGCCACGTCCCGTTAAGTCCTGCTTTCCTGCAGACATCAACTGCACCAACAGGGTTCACACTGTGCCTCAGGCTGGTCTATGGGAATCCCTGTGGGACACGCCCCAATGCCCCCCTCAGCTTAGATGTGTGTGCCTGGAGTTCACAGCACTTTGCTCGTCAGGCCACCGGCACAGCGCACTCTGACGGCACAGAGCTGAGAAAGGAGAAGTGCGCCTGAAACAAGGGGCCAAGTGACGCGGACGCAACGGGGCAAGTGCAGTCTGATTCTACTCACAAGGGCTCTGGCACAAGCAAAACCAATGTACAAACGAATCATTTCTGCTTGGGGGAATGAGAATGGTCTAGAACAGTGGTTCTCAACCTTCCTGATGCCGTGACCCCTTAATACAGTTCCTCGTGTTGTGGTGATCCCCAACCATAAAATTATTTTTGTTGCTACTTCATAACTGTAATCTTGCCACTGTTATGAATTGTAATCTATATACCTGATATGCAGGATGTATTAGGTGACTGCTGTGAAAAGGTTGTTTGAGCCCCAGGTTGTTCTAGAACAAGGTAGCAGTGATATTTACATATAACACTATTGACATTTAATGAGCCCAAATTGTAGATTTACAAATGATTAAAATGCTGTTTTATGTCATGTATACATTTCACCACCAAAATGAAATTATAGAAAAGAAAACAAATTGTGGGACCAAGGTCAAAAGATGAGGTCCCAAGTCCTGGCATCGAATCCTTCGTAAGCTTTGGCAAGCACCTTTCTCTTTGCTAACCCCTGCATTCCAAGGCAATGCATATCATTTTACTGAGAAAGCTTAATGTATCTTCTGACCAGTCAGTCTCTCCTTAAATGACGTCTCAAATTTGGACTATAAAATACATATAGCATTAATAATCTAGTTACTCGTTAGTTAAAATATATCCATCATAAAATTATTTTAAAAGATTTCATCATAAAACCTTTGAAAAATAGTTTCACACACTCACACCCCATCTGATATAATACCTACCTTTTGGGATTCTTGCTATGTGATCGGGACCTAAAAGGAATAACAGCTACCTTTAGAAAAGTGACTGTTGGGCGGGGGAGAAGGAAAACAAAGGGGGGAGGACGAAAGCACTGAGGGAACAGGGCACTAATCCTCCACAGGGAGGGTACTGTTTCTGTCTCCACAGCTTGAAAGGGAGGGAGGAACCAGACCTCAACCTGAGGACAACATACCTGCATGAAGCAGTAAACTAAGAGAGGTCTGCTGGGCCAGCCCCTATCCCAGCTGCATGACCCCCACTTCCCAGAAGGATGGCCTAGAGAGGACAGCACTGAAGATACAGCCTGGGGAAAGAGGGAGGGAGAGGGAGACAGAGAGCGAGGAAGAGAGAGAGAACAGCACCCTAGCCCACATGCTTGAACGATGACAGTCCTGGCCAGAGTAGGCAATGCACACTGAGAACCATAGGGTCAGCCTCTCCCTAGGGCACAAAGTCCCCTATTGACCCAAAGCGCTATGGGGGAGCAGCACTGTAGACACCCCCGCTCGCCCCTCCCCACCACACCAGGGTGTAACATGAAGGGGGCACAAAGCAAAGCAACAAAGTTCCTGAGGAATTCTGAAAACACACTTTGGACTTGGAGGGCAGGGCGTGGTATTGCATCAGACCCGATCGGAAAACATTCACAAGGGTCAGCAGACAGACAGACCTGCAACTATTCATAGGCTGTTTTTTGTTTTTCTTTATTTTCCATGTCTATCTGCACATTAGGCAGGATAATCAATGGGACCAATGGTTTCAGGGGACAGAGGAGAGGAGGAGGTAGGAGTAAAGGAGAGGAGAGCTAACAAATCCATCAAACCGACGAACAAGAGATCGAAAATTGATGATGATGAGGGCATAGAATGCCTGGTGGGATGCAATCAAAAGCAATGTACCCAAGAGGAAGTAGAGAGCCGAATGAAGGTCAAATATGATAGCAGGATAGGAGCAAAGTACCTTATATACTCGAGTATAAGCTGATCTGAATATCAGCCAAGGCACCTAATTTTACCACCAAAAATGCACTAAAAATGTGCTAGGACGCTCGGCTTATACTCGAGTATATACGGTAAAAGGAAACATAGGAACCAACGAGGAGGCAAAAGACATTTATACATGTACATATGTAAATATACTTAATATATAACAGCAGGGATATAGGTCTTTGTACATATATTTATAGGTTAAGTATTAATGTAGCAGACAGACATTGGGCCTCTACTCAAGTCCTCAACTCAAGAACACTTTGTGCCCAGCTATTACAACATACCGTGTCTGGGGTCTTAAAAACTGGAAGTTAAAACAAGTGGCCATCTAGCATGGTAGAAACACACCAACTCATGTGATCATAAGGTGTTGATGGGATCAGGTATTAGGCAGAAGAAAACCCCAAACAACCATTTTGTTGCAAACAAGGAGGGTCAGAGTGGAGATTCACAGTTGTACATCCCCTCACAGAAAGGTCACAAGGAAGGAACAAGTCAGTCAGGGTGCAATATAGCACCAATGAAATACAACATTCGTCTAGTTCTTTAATGCTTCTCCCCCGCCCCCACCCCAACTATCATGACCCCAGTCCTACCTTACAAACCCAACTAGACCACAGCATGTACACTGGTACAGATAAGAGCTCTTAATATCCAGAAGCCAGTACAGATAAACCCCTCGGGAACATAATGAGAGTAGTGATGCCATGAAGGCAGGAGGAAGGAAGGGGAGGAAGAGGACAAAGGGGATACGGTACCGATCTCAATGATCAATGTACAACCTCCCCTCCACCTCCAGGGGAATGAACAACAGACACATGGGTGAAGGGAGACAGTGGACGGTGTAAAATATGAAAATAAAAAACAATTGATAAATTATCAAGGGTTCACAAGGATGGAAGGGTAGAGAAGAGGGGGGGGGGAAGAGGAGCTGATACCAAAGGCTCAAGTAGAAAGACAATGTTTGGGAAATGATGATGACAGTATATGTACAAATGTTCTTCATACAATTGATGTATGGATTATTTTAAGAGCTGTAAAAGCCCCTAACATAAAATGATTTATTAAAATAAAAATTTAAGTGTCTTAAAAATAAGGTGAGAAAAGACCAAGTATCAAATAGTTTGTCTTATTTTCTATTTTTTTTTCTTTCTTTCTAATTCTTCCATTAATCTTACACACCAGGCATGTACTTACACAAGGTTTCTCAAGAGCGCTAGAGGGCCTAGCCTCCCCATAGCAGGCCCCAAGCAGCACGGGCACTCCTGTGATGAAGCGGTGGGCCCCACCTGAGAGCTCATGCTCCCCGGAGGCCACAGAAAACCCAGCCATCAACCACTCACTCACACCCAGAAGCCACTTCTCAACCTCAACACTCCTTTCTGCTCTCGCTGTTCTCACCCCACTCCCTTCAGGAAAAGTTCCAAGTTGCTTTTAACATTAGAAACTTAACTTCTTGCTCTAATTACTGATGTAGAACCAATCTTACAGCCTCTCTGCCTAACCCACAAGGCCATGCCCCCTCAAGCACACTGGTGACTAGCCAGCACTCAATACAGCAGCCACTGGGATTTCTTCCATGGACAGCAAGGCCCTGGATTCAGCCAGGTCTGTTTACTTCTGGCTCTGCCACCCATCCTGCTCCAGACCTGGCGGTTACATGACCCTGTCAGTAGAGTTTGTAACTGGCAAGAGAGGCAGAAATGTGCATTTCAGCATGAGACAGTGTCTAGCACACGAGGCACTAATTGAGGGACACCCAGGAGTGAGTACCCTTTCCACACTGTCTGTCCTCTGTAACTGTGTGTCGTTTGCGATTCGCCCCAATCCCTGCCCCAATATGCCTAGCTACATTACCTCCAGGCCAAAGGTATATAAAACAGATTTAAAAACAAACAAAATCATTGTTTAACACTTCTGGAAAATGGTAATCGTTATAATGACCCTTGACTAGCTGAGAGGAACTGCCCTGCAGAGCAGTGCTGATCTCCTTAGACCACTCAGCTCAGGTCCTTTGTGCCTCGGGCACATAGGCACTAGGACTGTCATGTAACGCAAGATCCGCAGTCACTAAAAGGACATTTCCAGGATTTTTAATCGGACAGCACTAGCAACCTACAAAGATATCATGCTCCCAAGAGCAGAGAGCAAGCTGAGATACACATGTACAATCAGAGGAGGAAGGACAGCATCTCCCCGAGTCCTGCTTCACTATTGTCAGTGGCAAGGCAAAATTAGATCACCTGTCACAAGCCATGCCTCACAGATGGAGTCCAATAAATGTACTGAAACACACCAGGACATCCCCATCAGGTGTGGACAGTCACCTCAAGTGCACAGCCCCCATCATGTCAGGCGCAGGACTGCCAAACTCTGGAGAGAAGCTAAACTGTACTCTTCAGACAGGAAATAGCATTAGGGACATGGAAACAGGAAACAAGCAATCTTGGGGCATGGGGCCCGGCCTTTCTCAAGATGCTGGTGGGAGTTAGGAGAAAGAGGCTATTGTGAGGTGATTTGTCAAGGAGTCAATGTGACTCAGAAGAGCCCATGGATGTGCCAACTATGACAGTGATGGCCCTTAGATTGAGAAAACATAGAACCAAAGACCATGCAAAATGACCGACAAGCCAAACAAACAGAAGTATGAAACCCAGTCCACAGGATCAACAGCTCTGACTGCCCACCTGTGCAAACCTTGGCACTAGAAAATCCAAGGACCGAGATGAGAAGTTGACCTCAATTTTGTATGACACACAGATTTACATAACCATCACTCTGCACACTAACTCTTGAGTGTGCAGGCATCACCCAGGTATCTGAGGTTGTCACCGCCAGATCTTTTCTCCCATGGAGGGTTGTGGCTCCAGCCCCTTCGTTAGCCTTGCACAGCAGGTTTACTAGCAGATAAAATCTGGAACCAAGGGATGCTGTGGACTTGACTGGAAACAAAGCCATCCCTAGTCCAGTTGGCCCTCAGGGACCCTGTACCTCCTCAGCTTCTCTCTCTCCTCCCTCTCTCTCTCTTCTCTGCGTTTCAGACGCTCCTGGTTTCTCTTCTCCTGCTTCTCAGCCACAACTCTCTGAAAAATAAAAGGGCAGTTCAAATAGTGAGAGAGAGTTGCTTATTGGCTGTGGCCCTAATTGGCACTACACTCAATAACTTACCACACAAGTGTTCAAATAATGCTCACTGGTCATTGAAAGCTATTTAATTCAAATGCAATTTGAACGCTTTCTAGGTACAAATGGGACTTCAAAAGTTCATGGGAAAATTATATTAGCATTTAATTCTAGTTTTTCCTAACCTTTTTAAGTGCCCTTGTGTAATTGCTAGGCTTACAAGTCTGATTTCCAAAATCTTTCCAAAAGGTGTACATGTTCATATGCTCACACTTTCTTAGTGACATTTCAAATTATTTCCACAAAATTGTTCTCTGAATATCTGACAACATGACTCTTTTTTGAAAAACAACTGCTTTTCAACTTGGAAACGTCTTCGGTCACTACTTCTCCAGACAGGCTGGCCAGACCTGCTGCAGGTCTTCATCTGCACACACAAGTAGCAGTCATCTTAGAACCTTAGTTTTGGGCCCAAGAACCACTTTTGCTACAGTGAGAATTATTTTGCCATTTTTCAAACACCTACTTTTGAGCCTCCCCCTCCCTTGCTGGTCAGAGACAGGAATTCTGGACTGTGGAGGGCTAACTCTTTAGATGGAGACTTCTCTGGTCTATCTGGTTCGTGTTATTTTAAATGTCACGTTATGATTATTCCAGTGGAGACGTGTACACAAAATGACCATGTATTCCAAGTTTTTCAGCATTGAGCCAGTCCTTACTCGGGACAGAACTCGTCCTTCTCACCTGTAAGGGCCTCACTGACTCATGAAAGGTAAATGAACACACATCCACCACTCAGTCTTAGCACACACCACATGCAGCGTGGCTGTGGCTCATATTCCAGGACTATATTTAACTGCTTTATCTTCTAGGAATGTGCAAAATATATAAAAGAAATAACTGGTTCGGGGGGAGCGGGGAGGGAGGGGAAAAATGAGGACCTAATGTCGGGGGTTTAAATGGAGAGAAAATGTTTTGAGAAACGATGTACAAATGCGCTTTACACAATTGATGTGTGTATGGATTGGGATAACAGTTGTATGAGCCCCTAATAAAATGTTTAAAAAAAAAAGATTAGAAAAAAAAAAAGAAAGAAATAACTGGTTCAATCGCAAATCTCTTAATTAAAAATTAAATGGGAAAGATTTTGCATGGTGAGATTAGAGTTCTAATTCAGTGTTCCAGACAGCCCAACATGCCACCACCCAGAAAAATGGGAACCCATTAAGCACTGGCGTCTCAGGTATCATCCATGAAAGCAGCAGGAATCCCCATGGCTAATCCTCCACTATTCAGCGGGAATTCCAGAGCAGACACGAAACATCACTGAATCATGATCAAGGACAGGCAATTACACCAGCCAAGGGAAGCCAAGCTGGACCGTACCTTTAGTTCCTCGAGCTTCTCTCTGATCTCAATGAAGCCCAGGTGCAGTTTCCCCCCAAAGTGATCTGCCAGCCGTCTGTCGTTGTCATGAAGACCTAAGTAGGCAGAGCAGACTTCACAGACTCTAAGTTTCTGCTGTTGGAAACTGGAAGCTGGCATGGAGTTCCGATACACTTCCTGGATAGAGAAAAAGCCAGACAGAGTCATGAGATCAGCCTCACACAATGAAACATGCCACAGAATGGTGCCTGAGACCCTTCTAGAAAGACAGGCAAAATTGCAGTCACTTGGGCATGCAAATTCAGTCCCCCTTGACCTTGCCAGTCCTCGGGCCTGTGCAGAGCAGGAGAGAGATGATAGCTGCAGCAGCTCCCGGGAGAAGATAGGGGGCTCTTTTTGGTGACTATGGTGCAGAATAGGGCTTTCTGAAAGGATTTCTCAGAGCTCCACAGTGCTCCATTTCCTGCAGTTTTTCGTAAAATGAGCTGGATGGGCCCCACTACTCTGCATCAGTGAAAGATCTGGAGAGCAGAAGCCAATGCAGTGCAGTGCAATAGGCTCAGACAATAGGACCCAACATATTTCCTACCCCCATAGCATACCTTCCCCACCCCACACAGGTTTGGGTCCCCCAGTGAGCCACCCTGTCCTCAGGAGCAGCCTGACAGAAAGATGTCCCAGTAAAATTATGACCTTGCTAAGTTTACACTTGAATTTGTAAACAAAGATAAGTGAAAATTGCTGGATAATTTCTTTTTGATTCAAGTTTTTCTATGTTTTGTCATTGTCTTTTGTTTGCTTCCTGTTTGTACTTTATATGACTTTCTGTATATGAAATCCAGGTTAGGTAGATACAATGGGTCATTAAATTGATAATTGCCTAGGGACAAGGTAGGGGAGAATGGGAGAAATGGGGAGCTAACAACAAGTACAAGAAGGAAATATTCTGTAATGGACTGTGGTACTGATTGCACAAATCTTCCTCAATATGACTGAACGATTAAATTGTATGGTATGTGAGGTAAATGCCAATAAAACTTAAACAACAAACAAAAATCGTGAACCAAGTAAGAGACCTCACGATTTCCTGATTTAAAAATCTACTGAGGTAGAAAAAAAATGGAACACAGCGATGGGAGTCAAAATACATTGGTGTGAAGTTAGAGAAAAGGAAAGTGTTAAGGGGAGGGACACAGGCTACGGTAACTGCAAAGCCGTGTGGGTCACTCACTGGTCTACAACAGCATGTTGGCTGAAAGCAGTGGAGGCATTCAAAGTCTAAAGGCTACCAGGTGGGCCACACAAATAAGCCAGGCGGCTGCCCGCAAGACATTCACTGAGAGCCTGTGCCACTGAAGTACTTGTTCCTATGGTGCTGGCAGACTGGACTGTCCTGAGGAGGGACAAGAAGGGAGAAGGCCATGGCCACATGGGGGTGCAGGAGGGTGGACAGAAGTGAGGATGTACACGGAGGGCATGTCCACTATTTTAGTTCACTTCCTCTGTCAGTTAGATTTCAGCAGACCCATGGTTCCAGATCTCCTGACAGATACCAAATCTATGTCGTCCGAGAAATGCAGGTAGTGTGATAGTTTAGTCACCTCGGCTTCTCTCTTCTTCGCCCGTGCTTTCTCTACTTCATCCATCACTTTCTGGGATTCTTCCACATTCCCTTCGGCTCCAAGTTGTTCCACCTTAGCCAACAATTTACCAATTTCTTCATTTAACTCATGAACACGCTCTGCCTAGAAGAAATAGACAAGATCATGAATAAAAACAAGGAGCAGAGAATTTCAAACTGTTTCAGAAATGCTCAGGGCTGTTACCGTAGCAGTGGGAGCACACACTAGGCTCCCTGAGCATATCCCAAGTGCACTGGTGAGTTGTGCATAGGAATTTGTTCATAGTTTTTTTTTACTCTATAGTCCAGCCCTCCAATGGGTCTGAGGGACAGAACTGGCCCCGTTTAAAAAGTTTGAGGACCCCTGGTTTAGTAGCTCCAGTTGAACAAAGGACAGCCCGCTCCAGACAGACTAACCACCCAGTCAAATTCAGTCAGATACCATCAAGTTGATTCCACTTCACAATGACCACGGGCTAAATGAATAGTTACTGTGCTTAGCCACCGAGTTTGAGGATGCTTAAACAGCATCTAGCTATACAGCACTTTTGCAGTCATAAATAATCAATACGACAGCCCTTTTCTCCACAAAGGACCTGTGGATCTCTTTCAACCATGTAACATCAGATATTCACCTTCAGAGTCCCCATCTACACTGCCATTTTCAGAAAAAAAGTTTATTCTGAATCATAGCAACCACACAGAACAGAGAACTGTTCTGAGGTTCTTGAGGTGGTAATCTTCACATAAGCAGACTCGCATCTCTCTCCCTAAAAGCGGCTACTGAGTTTGAACTGCTGACCTTTTGGTTAGCAGCCCAATACTCAGCACACTACACCTCTGAGGCTTCGCTCTTTCCAGAAAAGGCTAGTTAGCTAAAAAGACAATGTTTCTCAAACCAGGAAATCCATGTCTGCACATAAAGACCTGAGCAGCACACTTCAATGATGCCATTGGCACTCTACGTGGCTAAGTCTGTCTCAGTCTAGATTTTCATAAAATGTAGCTATGAAGATGTCAATCATCAAATCAACTAAATGCCATGTAAGGAAACCAGCACAGGAGAAGGCCTCCTTCCTGTGAGCTCTGGTTAAGGGCTTGCTCCCTTTCAACATGTGTGGGTCCAGTGTTCTTGGAGACATAACTTTGTCATGGCATCAGTCTCCACTGAGTCTAGGTCAGCCGTTTTTCTTGGTTGTAGTCCAATCACTTTAATCTCAAATGAAATCAATTCAAAGTGCAGCTTTAATCCCGTAGATTGTATCTGACCAATTAACATAACTACCTCTAATCCTGCTCCATTAATGTTATAGGGACTAGGATTTAGAACATACAGGATAATCGTATTACAAAATGGAGAATATTTACATAACACTAGCCAAACTAGCACCCATTGGGAGTGGGGGTGGGGGTACAATTCAATTCATAACATGTTATGTATGAATTTTTTGTGACTGTAGATAATGGTGTTAAAGCATTGGTCTGCTAACTGCAATATTGGTGGTTCAAACTCACTAGCCACTCTGTGAGGGAAAGATGAGATTGTCTGCCCTTTTACAAATTTAGACTCTCGGAAACCCTCTAGGGCAGCGGATCCCAACCTGTGGGTCGAGACCCCTTTGGGGTCAAATGACCGTTTCACAGGGTCGCCTGATTCATAACAGTAGCAAAATTTCAGTGATAAAGTAGCAACGAAAATAAGTTTTTGGTTTGGGGTCACCACCACATGAGGAACTATATGAAAGGGTCGTGGCATTAGGAAGGTTGAGAACCACTGCTCTAGGGTCACTTTGAGTAGGAATTGACTCGATGGCAGGGGGGTTTATAGTTAATGATACGGAACTATGGTGGCACAATGGTTAAACTCTCAACTGCTAACTAACAGGTTGGCAGTTCAAACCCACCTAGTAGCTCCATGCAAAAAAACCAAAACCCCAACAAGACCTGGCAGTCTGCCTCCATACAGATTACGGCCAAAGTCAGCCTAAGCGGCCATTCTACTCCAGCATGTGGGTCACTGGAAGTTGCACTAGACTAAGGTGACCAGATTTTAACATTAGTAAAGCGGGACACCAT